CGCTGCTTTAGAGAAGAAGAAGAGAAAACTAGAGGTGCACGTAAAAATCTATTCATATATGAATCGCGATTCTGTCTTCTAACGATTCTAATGGATTCACAGGTTCCAAAATCAGTGTTCAAAAGCAGCGGTTCTCAATACTGTTCCCCGCGTTCCCCTGCTCTGCACATGCTCTGCATCTCTCTCTCTCTCTCATTCAGCTCAGCTCCAACAATGAACTGTTCCAATTATACACTTATTTTCACATAGCTACGATATGAGAAGCATTAAACATGGACGTACATGCGGTTGCTGTATTAAAGCTTTAACCAGGATGAAACCGTATATTAAAAGCTAACAGCGTATCTAAAAGTATGAGACAACAACAAACAAAAAACATAGGCCTACCATTAAAAGCCGTGCTTGCACAGGTTCTGCACGATCCTCTTCAATAATATCCTCTGCTTCTCAATCAGGCTCAAACTGATAAGCGATATTAACGACGCCGTTGTTTACAATACAACCGGAGCACTTGCCGCTGAGGTGAGGGGCGGGGCTTTAGACGTGCACTAGAAGCGGTTTAGCCAATCACAACACACTGGGCTAGCTAACCAATCAGAGCCCATCGCCTATTTCTGAGGGAGGGGCTTCATAAAAGCTGGAAATGATCAGCGCGTTTCTCAGAGAAGGGACAGAGCGGTGTGGAATAAAGGTCAATTATGTGAAAAATAATGAGGTTTTTTTAAACTAAGCATTAACACGTTAGACTGCTCCCCATAAACACAATCAAGCCTAGAAAAAACCCAGTGAACCACCCCTTTAAGTACGCAGTTTAGTACTTTTGTCCCATTTTTAAATAATTTTTTGCTTCAACTCGAAGTTTGTAATGATGCGATTCATTTTTTAGCTGGTTGGTTTGGTTCGTGGTTTTTAACTCTCCAACAAAGACTTTTTAAAATCCCTATGGAAAAAATAAGTGGGAAAAATCCTTTTAGTCAAGACCATTGAAAAAGTGGGCTGCATAGCAAAAAAACATGGTTTAAAAAAAACAGTGTAAACTTGTCAATCTGAAATGGCAATCTGTGAACTTCCCTCAGAATCAAACAATGTCATAAACGACTGCTTAACTTGCCCATAAATGCATCACTGCCAGTTTTGAGAACATATTTTAACATCCAAGTAATTTTATTCAGCATCTCTATGCCATCTTGAGCTGGTTTTGATGTAAAGGTCAAAATGAATAAAAATGATAGTAATAGTAATTGATTTGCACTATATTTTTTAATGATACCTTTTCAGACTGACAGAGAAAATAATAAAGCACTGTCAGTGAATTTATTTTACATTAGTGATATTTTTTTTTCCCTACATGGCACATTTCTCCATCACTACTAAGAGGAACAAAAACAAAGGTTAATTTTGTTGCAGGGATTGTGCAAGATTGACTGAAAAGGACACTAGCATCATTAATGGGTGATTAAGGTTACGAATGCCAGCTAACAAAGACTAGCACATGCTTATATCAAGCTTTGAAATAAAACATTTCTAATTGATAAATGTTACAAATGCTGGTGAACAAGAAAATATGATCAAACTCCACCAAATGAATTGTACTGAACTTACATCACAAAGTATTTCATAGAAAGATACACACATCTGCAGCATTTTTGCAGGTTTATAGTTATAGTTCACCCAAATCAAGTTAAATTACTGATGTTCTTCCAAATCTGTGACTTTGTAAGCTCTTATGACGTTTTAATGCCTTTTATGACACTGCTTTGCAGGCCTGCTGATTGACATTTCAAGCAAACGTGCAGCTGATTTGTCACTACCAGCTGAGTCCTGTTGGAAAGAGGTGGCTAAGACTGCACTAAAGGGGAGAAGGATAAACAGAAGCTAATGGTTTATGGGAGATGGCACTTAAATGAACTTTTTTATTCATCGTTTCTGTTTTCGTCATTACATTTTAGCCATTGATCACATGTATTTTTCTATTGTCCTTGTGTATGTATGTGTTTGAGTGTACGAAGAAGGGTTGGTTGAAAGAGCATGCAAGAGAACATTTAAAGGAGATGAATGTGTGAAAACATCTATAAAGTTGTCTTTTTTCTCTCTCTTTTTTTTTTAAGAGTTTAGTCATTTTATATGTTCTTGACCCTCCCCACAACGAGTCTTTTTTCCAGAGAGGGAGGGAGGAAAAAAATGTGTAGACAACAATTTGGTTACCAGGTACTATTTAGTAGTGTTTTTTTAAAAACCTTTAATACCAGTTATTATATTAACTTTGTTTTTTATGCAGTTGTTATCATCATCATCATCATTATCCATTGGGAGTTACTCTGTGTGTGTGTGTGTGTGTGTGTGTATATGTATAGAGAGAGATGACATGTTCATTCAAAAAGGGAAGGACTGTCTTTCTGGTCCAGCTGAAATATGATTTTTTTTAAATGCTTTAAAGGCAACATTAGAGATCAGAGAATGGGATGTTAACATATTGCTAAACCATCCGATCCCTGATCTACATGATGCTATATGTGTCCAGTAAGCAGCCAAGAGATTGGCTGATCCTCCATGTATAACCTCGATGTATCCATATATGTCTTTGGAAAATAACACGGTTCTCAATATTATTATTATTAATGTTACTTCTGTCACTCCTAATACTTATTAGCTACTCTTTAAGATGACTTTGCTGTATAGATCAACACTCATTCATCTTGACGTAACTGTTTCTCCTAATATGAACAATAAAAAAACCATAAACACATTTTATCTGGAATAGTCATGTTATTGTCCAATGCAATTTGAATAATCACAATTTGCGGTTTGACTTTTATTTTGGACATTTCGGGAGAATCTGAGGTTAGAATTTCAGATTTTCCCTCTGAAAACGTCCTGATGGAAAGGCCTGCTTTGATGTAATTGCACAGTTCTTTGAGCTAAAACTTTAACATTGTTAATTTTCATACAGCTTCTATAAAGCAGTATTTAGGTTAGAACTTGTGTGGGTAGTTGGAAAGCTCAAAATTAAGATTTTTGCAGTTTTAAACAACTTTTTTTATTCAAATGTATTGCAAATTCAGGGATTTAGGCCACGAAAAAAATTGTGTTGACTAGATCTGAGAGCTTAAAGTTATCTGAAAATTATAATTGAGTTTTCACTCTTATTTTAAAATAAACGTGGCCAATCAAAATACACTTGCACCACGGTATACAACCAATTTATCGCTACCAGGCAGATTACACATGAATCCATGTTGAAAAGTTCAAATTGTAACGGGAAGCGACTACAACTGACAACAAACCAGGTCTAAAAGAGAAAAATCACTATCATCGAAATTACTATATATAATTGGATAAATTAGAGCTTGAATGGTATGCATTTTATTCATAAATCTTATCTCTGATTCAACTGAATTAATGGTTAATCTTCTCATAATTTGCATCATATTGAGTAAATAATCCATAAAAGACTTGGAAACAATTATTAAGTTCCCCTTTTACCCATACTATTTTTATAGTTGGATGTTGGAGAAAAAAAAAGAATGTACTCACCCTTAGCACACCATCCAAAAATGACAAAAAGCACTATAAAAGTATAACAGTTCGACTTGTGAGACTATATTATTAGTTGAAATGATATAAGGTAATGCATTACAACTACAAGCAGTGTTGGTGAGTAACTAGTTACATGTAATGGAATTATGTAATTTAATTACAAAAAAAATGTAACTAATCTGTTACAGTTACTGAGAAAAAATCTGTTAGAGTTACTTATGAAAATGTTAGAGATTACAAAGTGGGTTACATCTGATTGATTTCTTTCCCAAATTGCATTGAGTGCTTTAAAATATGAGACGCCAATGTTTCAGGAGATTAGGATACAGAATAGGACACTTATTCAATAACTGTTTTATTTCCTATTTGGGTTTGTATATAGGCCTATGCTTTATTTTTGTAAGATTAGCGTTAGATGCCAGTGTGTCCTGTCATAGCTATGCAGATATTTGATTTCAAAATCAGTTACAGTATCATAACTATTAAACTATATCTTATGATTTTAAATCTGTATTTAACCTCTCAAACGATCTCAAAGTAAAAATATGAGCTAAAGTCTGATTTTGTGGTGGCTGTGCTTTCAAATGAAATGATTTTATATTATGGGGCCGTTGAATGCTTGAATCTGATTGGCTGACGAACGTTCTTAAAGGGGTCATCGGATGCAAAATTAACTTTTGTTGTTGTTTGAACATAAATGTGTGCTTTTGAGGTGTTTTGTTGTTGGATGTAATAATGAATATAGCAGTCGTACATTTACTCGACATTTACACGCTTGAGGTATTCGGCCAATCACAACGCACTGGATAGCTGGCCAATCAGAGCACACCTTGCTTTTCAGGTCAGATTAGCTCAATACAGCACATACTAGGGTCACATAATTCGGTGCAACACCGGCACCTAAAAATGGTTAAGTAAGAGGGTTTAATAGGGTAGGATGTCAGTGAACCAAATTCAGTGTGGTTGCATAGGTTTCAGTGAACTAAAACCCCCAAGCTGAGGCTGTCAAAGCACCTTACAGTGTTTGCGTTTCCAAGGAGTTGGCATTCTGTTGCAGGGAATGTGTGTTGAAATTATTTTTACTAATTTAGACCGAACACATAACAATTTAGTTAAATGTTTATTTTAGTAGGGAGGTTACTTAAGGCATCATAAGTACAGATAGACAATACGATGGTTTGGTTTGTTAGTCTTTGCATGCATGCTGAAACAGATCAAATTGTAACAGTTAAAATATGTGATCGGTTTACATAATTATAGATACTTTGTATAGAGTCGAAAAAGCATCTATGGACAAATACAGATTTTCTTTCAGCACACTAACATAGCAGCCCTAGCCTACACAGCATAACAGTAGGTCTACCTAATGCCCTGACATACTAAATCAATCCAAACATCACTGCATAGGCTTAACTAACATCTGCCCACCAATAATAATAATAAAAAAACAGGCCTTTATATTTAGCCACTTCACATGTATTAGTCATAAACCATTAAATATTGAAGATTGTAAAAACAAATACAAAAGTGACATAAATGTGTAGTTAGTTCAGTTTGCATTACACACAACATCTATAAAGTACCATAACATTGTTCTGTCAACATATCATTAGTCATGTTAGAAATGATCAAATGTAAGTGAGAAATTGTCATTAGTGCTTATGAATTCTACATGCTTATGTATCTAATGAAAAAAGTCTACATATTGTACTGACATTTAAACATTTGAAAAGAAAACGCTTATAATGCAATCAAAGAAGAATGTAGTATAACCAATATTAAATACTGTACAATTATGAACAAAACGTATTTTGGAACTCCTTAAAGGGGTCATAGGATGCTACATGCACTTTTACAAGTTGTTTGAACTGAAATGTGTGTAGGCAGTGTGTGTACACAACCACCCTATAATGATAAAAATCCACCCAGTGTTTTTTTGTTAATCTACTCAAATCTTTTCCCCTTTCCCAAATCGAGCTGATCTCAGATGCCTGTGTGACGTCACAAAAACAGGCCCCTCCCACGATAGTTTGATTGACAGTAGCGTTTGAGCACAGACTGGACTGGTGTCTTTCCTTAGCTCCGCCCTGAGTGAGCTGTCATCAGTCCATCATTGTTTCCCCGCTGGAGCAGATGTAGACGAGAATGACTCCTAAGCGACTGAGGTGTTCTGTTGTTGGATGTAATAATGAACATAGCAGCCGTCATTTACTCCCGACATCTGAGCCGCTGAAGACGCAGTGGATTATGTTTGTTTCTGAAGAGAATGCGCCCCCGATCTACCTAGATCTACCTATGTTTGCGTGAATCATTCGTGATCCAGCTTCATCTACAGAAGAAGTGAGTAGTTTTTTAATGAATCTTTGCAAATCGCCTTTCCTAATAATGTGCTGATTAGCAAGTTTCACGATGAATGCGGCTAAAGTAAACAGTCTCTCTTGAGAGCGGCTCGGAAGAGAGGGGCGGGGTCAGCAGAGCTCATTAACATTTAAAGG